CACAGCTAACAGTATTGACTCTAAAATGGTGTTTTATTAGCTTATCTTATCTGCACAGTTAATATTCAAGAAAATAAGACAAACATCTATAATACTTTGACCTTTGCTATCTGGAATAATATTTACTTTTACTCTTTTCACACATGACCCATAGGCTGCAAATGGTTCATGCCAACCGTGAAAAACCAAAGTCATCAGCTGAAAAAAACCCGCCTTGAACTCACTGGAGCTTCTCCAGGTCTGAAGTAGGGCCTGAGCAGTGAATTTACAGCGACGAAAGGTGAAGTATGATGCAATAAAGGGCACATTTAAGAGAAAAAAACAAAAAGCACGAAGCAGATGAGTTTCTTCCAGCTTTGTTAGTTCATGGGCTACCGACCCCCTCCCTCAGGACTTGGGGAACGGGCTCCAGGTCAAACGCCATCCTGTTTGTGGCGACAGGCAGAGCAATTTTCCCTTTTCAGGGCAATTCCTCTTTTTTGAGGGTGTCCTATACAGCCAAAGGAAGAGCAGAGGTAAGCCTAAAGATAAAATATCTGCCAGTATAAAAGAGAAGAGACCCCTGCACGAATGGCAAGCCCTCACCCACAGGTGACTGTGCTGGAACTGCTGATGGGCACTCATGAGAACAAACACGGCAACACCGCTCTCTGCTGCAAAGCCCCTCCCCGGCTGTGCTGCCGGTTACTGCTCTCTTATCGGAGGCCTGCACCACGAGGAGGACGATGCAGGGCCAGCAGAGCTCATCAGGACTCGCAAATGGGTCTCAAAACGCAAAGCCTGGGGCCATGCAGGCACCAAGAGGTGAAGGCAGGGGTCTGCTGTTGGAGACTCTCCAAAACGTTCCCCACGCACAAAGGCACCCTCCTGAGAGCCTGGAGCCCCCGACTGCGTTTGCAGGAGAACAGAGAGGGTTTGTGGCTGTTCCTAATAAAAGACAGCGACACGGTGGAAGAGGCTGCTCAGGGAGGTCAGGAAGCCTTCATCACAGCAGGTCTTTAAGGACTGAGAGCGGTGTTCTGCAAGAAGGACGCTCCCGAACACGGCTTTGCTCTGGGGTGGGGCTGGGCTCGGTTCAGGACCCTCTGACCCCAGGCAGCGGCTGTCAGGAGGCAGGAGAGAGGGATCTGGCGGGCTACAGCAGAGCAAAGGCACTCCAACGGGCTCTCCAGAGGGGAAACAAACTCATCGTGAGTGTTGTCCCAGGGAAAAGCTCTCCCCTAGTCCAGAGAAGCTGTCTGCGTACTCACCAATGCGTGATCAAACTTAAAAGTACTGATGTAGTAGGCTGGGATGTCGGCCGCGGCCAGCGGCTCAGAAATCTGAGCGACAATTCCACATTCATCTGTGGGGGAGAGAAAAAAATCCCTCATTGTCGGACCGGCACCTGTCACTCTCACAGAACCCCTGGGTCTCGCCAGCTCCGCGACTATGCAGGGAGGAGTCTGTCTTCACAAACTCCCATCAGGAGGGATCTCTGCAGTGAAATGTGTTCTTTCCCACAGAATCAGGCTCTTTGGGCCACCACGACACGTTGCACATTTGATTTTATTGCCGCCTTTTTGTTACAGAGAAATGTACATCCCCCAAGGGCACAAAACATTGGAGCTGGAATGATTTTCATGGGTCCAAAGAAAGGCAACTACATTCAGGAAGGAAGCATCAAAACTATACACCCTTAACCTTCGTTTTTCTCTTTAGTAGTTGCCGTTAAACACTTTGCCCTGCGTCTCTGGGAGGAGGTGCTGGCCCGCTGGTCAGCCTGGGCACATGGTTCCTAGACCACAGCCCACCACAGCCCCCGGACAGGATTTCACACCAATTCAAATGGTTCATCTGTCCTGTTCAGCGCACATCAATGGCACATTGTTTCCAATGAAATCTGAGTTTCACTGGTCCAAACTGAACATTTCAACTTGATTGTAAGCTAGTCTATTTAAACACTGTATACTTAGGGGACTGGTAGGTGTCCTGATGACCTATACCATGCCACTTCTATATATTTTGCTTCTAAGATGCTTAAAGAAAACTTCCTGCATGACAATTTCCTTCTTGCGACCTTTGGTTGTCTGGCCTAGAAGTTGCAATGAAATATAAAAATTGGCCAAACATTTTTCAGAAATTTTCTTGAATCTTGTATTTTGTGACTGTTTCGAAGACCCTGGGAAGGTGCCCCAGTGTTTTCTGAAGCTCAGGCCTTTGCTGCAGTATTTGGATCAGACTCCTCAAAATTACAGGGGACATAAAAGCAACAGGAACACTTCTGCAGACGTGCAGCATTTGCTGTGTGGTACGTAGGTCCAATATTCTTCTGAGCAGCACTGGATATGAAACAGGTCTATGAACAGGACTGCGATCAATCTACACTGAATCTACTAAAGCCCCAGAGTTGCCCAAGGGCTGCACTGAGCACGACAGTGCCTTCTGACCACTGATTTCACTAATCCACAACGCATTCCCATGCCATTTTTTGTCCACTTTTTCTCTTTAAGCAGAGACCCAGCTGTAGCTGCCTCCCAAGTCCCGCAGATGAATGCAAAATAGATGGAGCCGTCAAGCACGCAGCGCTTTCAAAAGTATATTTAGCAGTCTGAATTATTAGGTAGGAGTCAGACTCCTCCTGTTTGAAAATCTCAGCTTGCAAAGTCACGTTAAGCTGCCGGCTCTTAAAAAGCCTTGGCTTCAGATGGATTTTTCCATCATCCTTGAAGGCCCGGAGGCGACTGCCTACCTGTGCACCAACTGATCCCCGAAATGTTCACCTACCGAAGCCAAGAGGCTGCCCACCAATCCGCACCATCTTCCAGAGTTCGCCAGATGCACTTGTAAACAACAAATTATTGGGAAATCTGTAAAAGAGAAGGAACACCAAACGCAGCAATTAAAACCCGGCAGTGTGTCGGATCCTGCCTGCGGGGATGCTGCTGCTCCTGCTTCCCCGGGCTGCCTGAAGCCAACAATAGCGCTGGCAGCAGCTCGGGGAAACGGAGACAAGCCACGGCCAGCAGGACAGACGCACCTGCCTGCCCCTCCAGACGTCCTACGGTAAATCAGCATCTGATGCTGCAAGTGTGCATGGGCACTTGGAGAAGCATGGAAAAAGATTTCTGAGAAACAGGCCATGGCCCAGCTTTACAAACACAGGGACTGTCTGAAGGCTTGATTTGAGCCGCACTTAGAAACACCTCGGGACAGAATATGTTTCCATACCTTAGGAATGTGACCGGTGACCACTGTTTTCATGTCAAGCATCATCAGTGATGACCCACCCCATCCCTGGGATCCCTGCAGAGATCCCATTTCTTAGCAGGGGAAAGCCGACCAGTGGCTCAGAGACTTGCCCAAGGTCACGCAGGCAGCCTGGGACAGAGCAGGAACGGGCTGCCCAGTTCCCCCAGCACCAGGCTGCTGCTCCACCTCTCTAGCCCCTCTCCTGCAGACAGACAGAGGTTCACTCCAATTAAGGTCGAAGAAACTTTCAAGAGGACAATGTTCCTGCTCCGGCAGGGGGATTGGAGTAGATGATCTTTCAAGGTCCCTTCCAATCTCTAACATTCTGTAAATTAGCAGTTTGCCAAACAAGTCCCTAGGGAAGGCAAGAATCAAAACCAAACACCGCACTGCGTGTTGAAAGCAAATCTATGCACTGCATCGCAGAGCAGCATCCTGTCTAGCCCCCAGACCTCGGACACTTCAGTGCTGCGAAGCTGCAGAAGCACACAGACACACATACAGGCTGGTATTTGCTCCCTCGCTGATTTTCTTCCTTCCCGAGCCATGGGCTCCCGCTGCACCGGGATGACTCAGAACATTATCATCACGAGACTCCGCACCAAGCCCAGCCATGTGTAAAAGCAAAGCGGGAGGACAGCATCACTGACATCCCCACCCTGCGCTTGGCCTCTAGCAGTAAAACTTTAACAACATACACCAGATTTTTTTTTTGTTTTGCTCTTAAGAGCACAACTAATGAGCAATGGAATAAAAACTTCAGAATCACTTCTCTCCAGTGTCTCTCTTTCAGAAGTGAGATAACCCTACATGATACTGGCTTGTGATTTCACTGAGGGCTTGGACCCACAAGCCCAAAATTCAGGAGCTCGGAAAGCGACAGGGTGTTCAGGCACATGACACCCATGCAATGAGGCTCCCAGGAATATACATCTAGGAGCTTAAGCTGCTTCCTGCTCCTTTGGGACATTCTTGAGTGCTTTTTTGGGATCAAAGAGACCCTAAGACCAAAGCTCACCTCTGCTGTGTCTGGACATCCATGACCAAGGAGATGTAACCCTCAATGAGAGAAAAGGAGAAAAAGCGAATATGTCCCGAGTCTTCATTGCCCACCACCGAGTCTTTTACTCTGAAGAAACAGAAGAGAACAGCATTAACTGTGGCTAGAAGAGCAGAGGAAGGCTTTTAAAGCAGACCCGGCCACTAAAACCAGAAATGTTCATATACTGACTTAGGAAAGTGTCACTGAGTCCTGCCATATTATACTGCTTCTCATTTTTTTGATTTCGCAGGGGAAAAAAATGTCAGTTCCCACAACTGACACACCTCTCCCATCCCTGCCCAAGGTCCTCTCGCAGGAGGCTGCGGGCCAGGATCCTCTGGTCATATGCAGACATGCAGTACATGGATCACATTGCTACTCTTCATTTCAACGTGAAAAGGCTCAGCTTTCCAAAGCCAGCGCATGTCTTTGGGCACCCTCAATCTCCTGGTCAGGTTCCACCTGTCAGGACAGCCCTCTGCAACCTGTGCAACCTCCCTCCAAAGCGCAGAGCACCGCAGCAGCATGAGGCCACCGCAGATCCCTGGGCATCCTGGAGGAGCAACGGGAATTTGTGCCCCCAGACGCCAGCCCCACCTCCCCTGGAGCCCGTTTCCCTGCTGGGACCTACCCATTGGAGTAAAACATGACATCCATGAGGAGTGTAGCAACAGTGGGGAGGGTGTCTGGATCCAGGCTGGTGACACAGAACATATTACTCGGGCTGGAAAGGGGATGAATGACAGGCCTCTGAACTGAAAGAGACACAGACACACACACACAGCTATGAAGCCACACCTGCAGCAGGTTCACGTCCCACCAGACAGGTCATCCAGAGAAAACACAGTGTTGGTGAGAAGGTTCCTCGCTGCCAAAGCCCTGCTGGTTCTCAGACAGGGAGCGAGGAGCCTGGGGACAACCCGCTCCTGGAATGTCCTTCCCGGGGTACAGGGTGAGACCGTCCCGAGTCCCCTGCCCCAGGTGGGGTCAGCTCTCTGCTCGTAGGGGCTGTCAGGCCACTGGGTGCATCCACATGAGACAAGAGGTGAGCTACAGGAGGTGCCAACACAGACTGTAAAGCAGAAATAAACACAGGCTCCCGCCATTTAAAAGGCTGGGCCATGGAAGGCATTTCTTCGGCTGTGGTTGCTGACACAACCTCTTTTCTCTCCTTTCTGGGGGCCTGTTTTGCCACAGTATCTACAAAAACGAAAAACCAGCTGATAAGCAGCAGCTTGGCAAACACGCTTGCAGCCAGCGGCGGAGGAGCAGCTGGTAGTTAGGCAAGCGACTATCAAACACCGCGACACAGCAAACTGCATACCTGTGCGTCATCAATGTGCGTTGCGCTGTGCCCTTCCTTCGTGCTTTTTGTAGAAGGCTCGTTTTCTTAAACAGGATTATCTGGTGCTACCATCTGATGAGGCCGAGTGGCACTTTGTCATAACTGATCCCTGCTTTGGTTGGTTACAGGCACAAAATGACACACAGGGTGTGTATGTAAACGTATGTATTTACGTAGTTCCTTTTCCTGATTGTGCCCTTTGCTTGATGCTTGTTCCTCCGGACTGGAAGCACCCTAAGGTTCTGTACAGCCCTGGGCTGCCAGTGGCCTCGATCCTGACTGGTGCTGAAGTGTGGAAGTTGAACAACAATATTCTCTGTGCATCAATCACTGCAATACCTAAACAAGCTTTTCTATAAGTCATTTTCCATTGCAATGTTGAAATGTGGAAGTATAGGCTACAGACGTTATTTTTGCAAATGAACTGTATTCTACCCTTCCACCCTACAAAAGGCACGTCTCCTCTAGAAATGTGAAACTAGCACTAAAGGGCTTCAATTCAGCAAAGCTCATCAGCGTTGCTCAGAACGTTAAGCACCTACTCAAATCCTTGGCTGAACGAGGATAGACTCGGGTTAAGATAGTTCATTACCTTATAACAGGATAAACATTCAGCGAAATGTTGAAGGAAGCCAGGAGGCAGACTTTCACCCCCAGGTGTCATGCAGACCACCTCCCTGGCAAGCCGAGCCCGTGCTGGTCCTTACCGAGTTTTGGTTTGACAAATCCATTCGTTATCCCAAGGTCATCGGCAGCCACTGTCTCCCCATTCACTACTCGGAGGATGGTGAACTCAGCAGCCAGCGTGTGCATCACGAAGGGCAGGTCTCGCTCACGTACCTGAGGTTGACAACAGGATTATGGTGATGGTGTGAACTAGAAGCGAGAATATGCTGCAGGGGAGGTTATGTCCTCTTGGGGCACAGAAAAATGGACACATCACTCCTGCTTGAGCCAGCAGGTGTGTGAGGATAATTATTATCTGGATGCATGCCTAGAGAAGCACATTTGGTGATATCACTGCAAATATCAGTAGGATTCAGCACCACAGTGCTTTTAAGACTGTGGAAAGACTGTGGAGACTCCTAAGAGGGAGATGTTTCACCACTGTTTCAGCATCCCTTCAAGAAGCCAGCACTGCCTGTTCCTCAGCCTTGTTTCCTACAGAAATAAAGCTTACGTGGTCATGCCCTGAGACAGAAAGACAGGCTGTCTGTCCCCAAAACAGCTTCAGAGCCTCTTGGCCATCATTGGCCAACCTGACAGCAGACACTACGTTTCTCTAACGCTCAGAAAACCAATGGCTGAGTGATGGTGGGACACGATCTCCCTCCATTACAGGAGAGACTGCAGTGTGGGCTCCATACTCTCATTAGACACCAGATAACCCATATCAACAAATGCCTCATCCCATGGGAAAAGCTTCTGAGATGTTGAAGAGCCTAACTAGATGACCCAGAGCTCTGGGGAAAGAAGACTTTGGTACTTGTGCTGCTACTCAAGCAACCTGTTCCCAGAAATGTCATTAAAACTGTCCAACTGAACTTCCATCTGGCTGCAGATAACTCTGCTCTCATGTCCTCTTACCAGGATGAAGTCCGTCTGATAGGTGGAGAGCATGAACACTGAGATGTTTTGGTCAGCTAGAGGTGCTATTACTGACTTGGCAATTTTGGTCACTCCGATGGGCTGGGAGCCGGAGAAGCCACCTCCGCCAGACACCACGTTGAGGGCAAGCCATGTCGCATCGGCCACGCTCAGGTGTTCCGAGGAAGGGAGCTCTGCAAAGAGACAGAGGGGGAGGACAGAGGGTTGGTTTAGAGGCAGAGCAAGCCAGGTCCACCACCTGGTCTGTACATGGTTAGCACAGACCTCCGTGCAAGGAACGAGGTGAGCCCACTCATCCAGCCAACCTCCTGGGCTTCCCACGCCGCTTCGCAGGTTGGTACCGTGCTGCTTTTTAGATACACTGATTGCATCAACTTCCACTGCAGGACTCACACAAATTTTCAAGGAGAACTCAGCCATTCACTGGGATGCTGGTGACCAGCACGGCTGATTTCCCCAGCCTGAGGTTCTTGACTTAACTTGAATCTCCTCTATCACACCATTTCTCCAAATACTTCACTTGAGCCTTTCTGGTCTCTGGTTTCCCATTTCCTGCTCTAAACCCCACTTTTGTTCTCCTGGACTTGAGATGGAGGTTCACCGAGCAGCCTGGGCACAAGCCCAAGACTGGGGAGATGCAGAGGAGGTACCCAGTGCCTCTGCAGGCTGCTGCCTCCATCTGGAAAGCCAAAGACAAGAGCTGCCCAGCTCTGTAAGGGAGGGATGGTGTAACTTATACACTGGAGATTACAAGGTGATCGCATACTAAGACAATGGAAAACTTTTAGAGAATCATCCCAGGTCTATTCCATTTGCTTTTAGTCTGCTGTCATTAAGTAGTTAAAAATCTGCAGCTTAAACCATTTAATACAAATTATTAACTGTTTTAAAGAAAACAACATATTAACAGCCTGTAGAACCAGACGTGGACTCTGGAATGAAGGCGTAAACTTCTGAAAGATACACTGGACTTTGGATTTTGGTTTGGCAAATTACAGAAACAAACAGTTCAGATCCAGATCTAGACTTACAAATACATAATCCCACCTAAATCTACTTGGCATGAGGAACCTGACCTCAGCTGCAGACCCAGCCAGCAAAGATACAGCGCAGGTCCTAGCGGAAACCTACACGCTTTGCTTAAAGGTTAGATGCAGCCCAGCAGTCCGAAACCACCAGTCCCAGTATTGCTGTTCTGTGGTCAGTGCCCTGGCACTGTGGGCAAGCCGCTCCGTGTCCCCATACCCACCTTTCCCACTCTGTCCACCCACCCCTGGCTCCTCCATACTCTATCCTCTCCTTCTGCTTCAGTGAGACCCTGGGGAGCTGTTTCTGCACAGCTCCAGACACCATGTAATCAGTTCAGAACCTCACACCCCTCGGATCCCCAGGCACCGCTGCTGCGAGACGACAGCAGCGCCGAACACCCAAAACGAACTGAATAACAAACACTGCGCGTTTCGCTCTCCTCAATAACCCCAATTGTGCGTGGCATGAAAATAACCCTGAGCAAACACACGGCAAACAGTGGGGGCACGGCGGGGTCTGCTGCTGCATTTTGATGCTTAGCTTCACAGGCCAATGTTTCTTTTTTACTGAATAATCAGAGCTCACACGGAATGAAAACGAGGCACCAGGGAGAGCGGGTAAGTTTGTGTATTAATCAACAGCATGTTACCGCAGAGAGACCAGTGCGAGTTGCTTGCGGAAAATTATTGCAGCAAAATACCATTTCGGATCAGACAGCCCTTTGCATCAGAAAAACACCCCCAAACAAAGCCGACTGCATCAACCGGCACGGAGCAGCTAGGGCTCAAAACAACCGCTGCTGATCTAATAAGCAGCTGATGTCTTTCTCCTTTATTCCCACCTCTGCTCCTTGCCTGCAAAATAAATAAGAAAGAAGAAGAAAAAAAAAAGATGTGTTCTTTCCTGGGACACGCATTTGCTCGCTGGCAGCATGGAGCGGGCAGGCGCAGGCGCGGCCACCTGCACGTCATTGTCATCGGTATTTACACTGCGACTTCCTGCGTCCCAAAGCCGTTACAGCAGCCAGGCAACTCCATCACAGAGAGGTCAAGCGACACCTTTCCTCTCGCAGCCTCCGGCAGCAGGGGATGCACGGCAGCTCCGGTGCCTGCCGTCCGACCTGTCCCACCCGCAGCGGGCACGTCCCTGTGCCCAAGTCCACTAATGACTCGCCACTGGCAGCAAGAAGAGATGACAACTCATTTGCATCTCTATGAACAGAGTGGATGATATTTCTGCTTCGTACAGGTGCCGCAGGGCGGGCTGCAGTCCATTAAATACCGGCTGAAATCCGATTTTGGGGCAGGGGTGTGATGGAGGACGCAGCATTCGACCACACCGCACCCCGGCAGCGGCAGTGCTGGAGCAGCCGCCCCAAGAAGACCTCATCAACCTCTTCCTCAGGGATCAGGAAAGCTGAGTTGCCTGTTGCATGTGTAATTACTACAAAGTGTTGATCACGTTCGGTTTTATGTGTTTAACACGCCCTACGGAGGGTGACAGGGGCCACGGCATTTGCTTAAGTGACTCACCCCTCATCATTTGATTAACTTTGCAAAAAATATAGAGAAAGTGACTGAAATACCAATTTTGGACACTGTTTCCACTAGGTGGCCAGATGGAAAAGTACAGCCCAAATTTTAATGAAGCCAGCCCAGGGCAGAGGCTCAGCAGAGTCAGCTCAATCGCATCCAACAAGCCACGCGGGAAGGGGCTCTGCCCTGGAAGCTGTTAAACGCAGCAAACCCGGGGAGAGCTGGGAACACCAAACGTAACGCTAACGCAGACTCAGGGAGGCAGAATAATGTAATAGAGAAAGAGCAGAATGAGGAACCGCCCATGTTTCAGCACCAACCCCACCATCTCCACCACGTCTCCCCCAGGACAGCAGAGCTCCTGATGCTCCACAGCTGCAGCACCGCAGCATCCCCTGTCCTCGCGCTGCAAGACGGGCGCAGAAATCCCTGCTGGGCTCTCAAGATCCTCTTGCAACTCGTTTACCAGGGTGCAGGTGGCTCCCGCTTCTGATCACAGGAGATATCTCACTCTGGCTGAGAAGGACCTCTAACTGGTCAGAGACTTGGGTGTTGTTTGTTAGAATCAGGGTCTTTGTTTTCAATTTGCACTGCAGTGAAGCCTTTCCATTTTCGCGGTTTTGCCGTGTCACACTTTGCAGAGCTGCTGCCAGCACCCACGAGTGGCTCAGCTGCCCACAGGCTCCGCTGCCATCGTTTGCTGCCCATCATCCCAACCATCCTGGCAGAGGAGGGGCACAGGCTCCAGCTGCCGTTCCATCCCCAGCAGCTGCGTGGATCCCCACCAACCTACGCGAGATGGGATCACCCTGACAGCCCAAGCACAGCCCTCACCTTGCGTATGGTTTTCCCCGGCAGTGCAAGGCTAGGTTCCAGCTGCTGGTGGGCTCCAGTGGCCCACGGTACCGCTCTCCGCTGGCACAGCAGTTTCTTCCCAGGTTGTCCAGAGCAGCTGTGGATGCCCCATCCCTGGAGGGGTTCAAGGCCAGGCTGGATGAGGCTTTGGGCAACCTGGGCTGGTGGGAGGTGTCCCTGCCCCTGGCAGGGGGTGGCACTGGATGGGCTTTAAGGTCCCTTCCAACCCAAACCATCCTGTGATTCTGTGATTCTCTCATCCCAAATTCTCTGCACTGCGTGGAACATGCAGTGCCACCAAGCAGACAGACTGGACACAGCTCCTCCAAGGGAGATACTAAACAAACCTCAATCCCTGCTCAAATCAAACCCAACCAACACATGTCAAATAAGGTTTAGGGCACGAGTTAAAACTGCTTATTCACACCACGGGTGATTTAAAAGGCCAGAGGTCTATCCAGAGCCTCACTGGCCCGTTTGGCGGGTCCAGTTGGAACAAAGCAGCCTCTGTGGCACACGTCATCCTGGGACGCGAGGTGCCGAGTATCATATCGGCCGTAATTGGCTCCTGAGCTCAAATAATCAATACCATTTCCAGTGAGGACAACAAATGTTGGCTGAAACCCAAATACGGATTGAATTGCTGCCACCGGAGCGCTGGGAAATGCTATAAGCGCTGCAAGCCGGTGCTCCACGCAGCACTCTTAAAATACCTTTGGGTGGATGCCGGCCAGATGATGAGCTTCCAGCTCACGGTCTTTGCAAGCAGCCAAGGTGCTCACAGAAAGCAGGGAAGGAAAATCACCTCCTAGCTGACATCTCTGACCAAAGAATCAGCCCGACAGTGTGGGTCCGCACAACGGTAGGAAAACAGCCACATTTTCCTGCCTCCATTTTCCAACCTGAGGACCCCTCAGCCTCATATGGCTGGAGGCAAGGCACTGGGAGAGAGCCCTCCTGCTCTGGAGGAACGCTGGAAAACGCGCAGAGGAAGTGCAACATCACCAGAACTTTTTTGCCCCTTTCTGTACCTCATTTAAATGGGTTCAAGTTTCCCACAATAGGGTTTCAGTTACGGGGGAGATAACCGGATCATCTCCTAAGCACTGCATTCAGTACACAAATTTTCACATTATAGCAGAGTACTCCGGGTGGTGTGCTGCTCCTTGATTTGTTCTGGTACTCTGAGTGAACCGATTGCTCATTCAATTCATCATTATAGGACTTGAGTCCTAAAATGTTGCACATTTTAGGTGTGCCACCCACAGCTAACTCAAAATGTTAAAAGATAATGAAATTAAAAAATACTGTGGATTTTTTGACCAGCCTTCTGGCTGTAGATCCCTTACACTGTACTTATTTCACCTTTTATAGCCTCCCTCTGCAAAAATGACAGCTAGCCTCTTGCTTGTATTAAAAAGACAGAGAAAAAGGCTCCTGGAATAGCAGGACTCCAGCGGTCAGGCATTAAAAATAAAAGCACTGCCAACTGCAAAATTCATGATAAATTGGGAGAGCTGTCGCCAACGCCTCGCTGTGGCAGCACAGTTTATGTACATATATTTTTAATAGGATTTTAACATTTATTAAAGCGTCCTCTTGCCACTGCCCAGTGGAAGAGCTTGTCATTGCTCTGCAGTTTTCAAATCCCATCTTCTAATGAAGTGAGGGATTATCTCAGATCGTAAAGGCTGATCCAAAGCCCAGGCATCTTTCTGACTTCTCTGTCGGCTTTCTCACGCAGGCACAGAGGA